CAAAGGGGGAAAATAAAACGGGCTTGGTAGATCCAGAGGAGCCCTTTTCCAAATTCGTCCGGGCGGGTTCGTAAAATCACACCACGACCCTTCCAGATTCGTGGGTTCGGGCGAACGGCCGGCCAGGGATTCCAAGTGATGAGCCCCAGACCCATCAGCGCAGGCATGATGTAGACGAAGGGCTTGAGCAGAGCCGGCGACTCTTGGAGGGCTCCGGTGAAGGCCACGGCGTACGTGAGGATCGTGAGGACGAGGAGTGCGAACCCGAACCCGGCCTCAGCCTCCCAGAGGGTGGAGATCTCGTCGAAGTCGCACGGCTTGCCGTCGCACTTGCACGCCTGGGGGCAAGTGTCTTGACCGCGGTCGAGCCCGAGGACGTCGTCGATGGTCAGATACTTGACGTCGCCCGCGCAGTACTTGTTGGCCTCGTCGACAGCCTCGTCCATGACGAAGAGGTAGCCGGTGTTGCCGAAGTTTGGGACGAAGCTGAGGATGCCGAGGATCGAGAGGACGAGGAACACGCCGAGGTACCACTGCAGAGCGAGGGTAGGGCGAGGTTGAGGCGGTGCGGCGGCGGCGGCGACGCAGCGCCAAGGGAGACGGTGGCGGCGGCGGCGGCCGGCGGTGGGAGCGGCGCCGGCTTGGGGCGGTGGGGCGGTTGCGGTGCCGGTGGAAACGGCTACGGTGGCGGCTGGCCATGTGCGCGGTCGCGCCTTCAGTCCGGTAGCCATCCCGCAGCAGCAGCCGCAACAGCGGGGCTCCCCGTTCATCGTTCCAGACGATTCGCGCAAGCGCGCCTAGGGTGGGTGCGGTGGCTTTGGTAAGGAGTGGGCGGGCGATGCGGCTTCAGTCAGCAGGGTATGGAGGCTTCGTTCGAGGCGCCTCGACGGAGAGAGCAGCCATTTTTTGGGCTCGTTAAATCACTCAAGAAGCGCCGCCTTTCGAGAAGCTCGATTCACACAAAAACACACCGCAAGACGCACAAGCAAGCACAGACCTCGATTCACAATACAAGAAACAGGGAAAAGGAATGCACGAGCCACGCCACGTAGTGCACAGAGCCATACGGTTGTCCACTACCTGGCCAATGAGGTGCTCCACACGCCCACGGTAGTGCTGCACCGTCTTGTTGAACCGTTGTTTCTCGAGGGACAGGTTCCGGCCCTCCATTCTGTGATGATCTGCCGCTGCCCGACGTAAGCCTTGTCCCCAAGACCATACTCCCATGGCTTGATCCGCGCCTGCAGGAAGCTGGCCCAAGCGCCGCGCCCCCGCCGGTCGAATTTTAGCATCTAGGCCGTTGGGACAGCTCGGGACGGCTCGGGACCGCTCGGGACGGCTCGGGACGGCTCGGGACGGCTCGGGCCGCCCCGGGCGCCGCTCGGGTCCCTCGGGTCCCTCGGAGCCGGCGCTTTCCTCACCCCAGAGCGGCGTCGAGAGCTCGATGCAGAGCTGTGTGCCGTCCTCGTCGGTCATGGGCAGCGTGGACGGGAGGCTCATGTAGCCGACGGGGCCCTGGCGCTTGGCCTTGATGTAGGCGTTACCGACGTCTCCCTTGGTCAGATTGGCGTCGATGGCGGCGGCGTGGCCGAGGAACAGCTTGGTGGTCATGTCGTCGACGACGGTCGAGGTGGCGGGGACTTGGCTGGCGGGTAAGCCGGCGCGCTCGCGCTGGACCTTGGCGAAACCTCCGTCGGCGCTGTGCCGAGACTTGTAGGGGTCGTGCTTGTCAAGGCGTCCGGTCGCCTGGTCCACCTTGATCTTGCGCGCAGTGACGCAGCGCTGGACTGGCACGCCCTTGGCGGCGGGGACGGTGACGGGCACGAGGCAGTTGCCGGGCCCACGAAGGATGCAGTCGAGCCCCTTCTCATCGGCAGCCAACCAGTGCTCGCGCTCCGGCGAGTTGAGCAACTCCTTCTTGTTGGCGGGGACGCGATAGACGCACTTGCCGATGGGCGTGGAGACATCGACGAGGCGCTGCGTCGCTTTGAGGCACTCGGCGGTGACGACGGCGCCGGCGGCGTTGCGGAGGCTCGCGCGCCGCGCGTCGAGAAGCTCGGCAGACGCGCACTCGAAGGGGGTGGCGTCCTCGCCGAGGACGGCGAAAAGCGTGGCGTTGTAGACGTCGACGTGCGCCTCGCTGGGCGTGCGTTCGAGCGCTTCCTCGACGGCGGCAGCGGCGAGGGCGGTGGCGTGGCGGCGGCGTGCCTGGGCCCGGGTCGTGGGGCCGCTGTCCGCCTCCGTGACCGGGTCCACGGGGGGGGCGGGCGTAGGAGGCGGCAGCCGGCGCCACTTGCGCTTGGTGTTCGCAAAGTTATGCGCGTAAGGCTTGTCGGGCTGGGAGTCGTAGGTGACGAGCCACAGCCGCTCGCCCCTTTGCTCGACCACCTCGGTGACGGTGCCGACGTACTCGCTCGAGGTCACCGCAGGGGCGGGATCTTGCCACACAACCGAGACGCGCGAGCCTTTCGGGAGGTCGAGCGGCGGCGCCGCGGCGCGGGGCGACGGCCTCACGCGCGGCGGCGTGGTGAGCTGCTCGCCTGTAGGGGGCGTCTGCGTGGCGGCCTCGACGACTGCGGCGCCCGTCGGGATGCCGCGGCGCAGCAGCTGCAGCTCGTCGAGCTAGGAGCCGCAAGAGGGCTGCACCTGCCCCAAACCGCAGCCGTGGAAGGCGGGCGCGCAGCAGCCATGCGGGCTCTGCACCCAAGCGGGGTCCATGAGAGCATGCGCGGCAGGCCAGCCGAAACCGGAGGCCTGCGAAGGCATGGCCATCGACGCGCAGCTGGCCCACTGGTCGGCAAGGGACTGGCCGTGCATGCAGCCAGACGAGGGCGGCAGGTACATTTGCTGCTGCACTCCAGGGTGCTGCATCTGCACGAAAGGCAAAGGCTGTGCGCTTGCGCACTGCCTCTGGTGCGACGCCAGCTCTGCGGCGGCAAGCGTCTGCCCGCTGGGGCTGAGTGCACCTGCCTCGGCGACACCGGTGGGCGGTGTCGCGGCGGGTGCCTCGGCCGGCGGCCTCTGGGCCGGGTTGGGCGGAGGGTGTTGGGCTCGGTTGTCCGGCGTCTGCGCTGCCGGACGGCAGGATGCGGACCGTAGGCCGCTACCATGCGCAAGAGGAGCGGTAGCGCCTGAGCTCCCGGGCGGCTGCGCCGGCCGCGCGGGCCGTGGGCGCAGCGTGGGGCCGGGAGCGGCCGGCTCCGTGCTCATGTATCCAGCGTCTCTAGACGATTACAAAGGATCGGACGTCACGCACATTTTGACAGGGACGTCGGAAATCGGACACATCCACTGGGACGAGTCAATTCATTCACTAGAATGACTAGAAAGGGCACCCATGGGGGGTGATCGCACAAGTTGGTATTTTCATATATGAACTTCAAAATACCATTGGCTAATCTAATTCTACTCATCACAACTCGCCAGAAACACCCACACACTATGGGGTCATTGTGTAGCCCTGCTTAGAAGGAAAAGGTTTACTTTAAAGTATTATACTTACTGCAAGGTCCGTATGGCTCACCGTGTAGTCGGCCGGGTGTGAGGTAAAACCACGCTACCAGCCAGCGCTGGGACCTGGGTCACATCGGCCCCGAGGTCAGATCCATCTACTCTGTTGCTGACAAGACTTGTCTGCTGGCTGGAGCCGAGCAGGAGGGCCCAGCGCACAACCCCTGTGTGCAACTCAGGGGGTCCACACCCCGTACCCTGCTACCCTCTACCCCCAACCCTGCCTCACCGTCGAACAAACGAGAAACACCAAATCGCAAAGGCACACCCCGGAACCAAGAGATCACGCACACGACAGTCGTGAACAGAACTCAGAAGAGGGGACGGTCGGAAATCACATTGGGGGCCTTCGCCTGCATGGAGAGACATGGGGGCGGCAAGTCAGGCGGAGACACACGTACTGTAGCCATGGTGTGTGCACGGCGGCGACCAGTTGCCCGCGTTGGACTTGGAGAGCAGAGCCGCACCTTTGACGTGCGCGGGAGTGAGATCGTGTCGCGTTGGACCGGCTCTTAGGCAGCCTGGACCATCGCCACGGCCACCGGGTGCCCCGTCACTGCCGGGCCTCCCGTTTGCTTGGCCAGGTGCGCGAGGAACACGCGAACCTCGAAGACCTGGCTCGCCACAAATACCCAGCTCACGACGTACACGGTCCACCCGATGGCGATGGAAGCGACGATGAGACGGTTGAAGTCAGACTCCTGCGAGGCGGGGCGGGGGGACCTGGCCCGCTGGACAAGCGAAGTAGTGGGTGGTTGGGTGGTGTTTTGGGGGGGGGGGGGGGGGGGCCTTTCCCCAGGACCCCTTGGCAGGGGGGGGGCCCGGCCCGGGGGAGGGGGGGGGGGGGAAACCCAAAAATCCCCGCCCAAAAAAAGGAAAAAAAAAACGCCCCTAAAAAAAGGGAACTTTTTAATCTCCCGGGGGGGGGGAAATCCCCCCCCCCTTCCAAAAATGGGGGGCGCCAAACGCCCCCCAAATCCCCATTATAACCCCCCAACCCCCCCCCCCCGGGTTTTTTTAAAAAAAAGGTTTTGAAAAACCCCCCCACTTT